TGTTGTGCTTAAGCTGTGATGAATTTGTGCCGGAGTCGGAGAGCCCGACCAACTTCATTTGATCATGTATGTGTTCATGTATGAGTCCGCTTGTAAGGGAGCAGTACAATGACTGTGATGTGACATGGCAGCGACGAAGGGGAACGCGTGCAGATAAAAGCTTCATACGCTTCGTTCAGTACAACAAAGTAAGCTATCGGAGCAGCCAGATCCGCCGGAGAGATCCAGAGACGACGAACGATGACAAGGCAAGGTGTAAACGCGGAAGAAAGAGGGGATCGGGAAAAAATCCTGAGCGAAGAAAAAACTAGCCGGGTGAGTCGATTCAGGGGTAACAAGGAAGCAAATCGAGCAAAGAGGAAGAGGAGGAGAACGACAGGGAAGCATTACAGTCTATGCACTTTTCCTTTCGCAGACTAAATGGAGACTGCAATGCCTGCAGCCGCCACTGGCGGACGGCATTGACTGTGCACTACCATTGATGGCGGTAAGGAGCTTTCCGCTATAATGACTATGATCTTCGAGCTGCATTGGTGCCCGGCCATAGAAAACAGTAATAGACGCCCAACGGTTAGAGCAAGAGGAAGTAAACGAAGGTCAAAAAAGGCAAAAAAGAAGAAAGTGACGGCCAGAGTAAACTCAGAGGGTAGTTAGGCTACCGGCAGAAGCAGCGCTTGTCGGAGACGTTTCAGTTAAGTGAGAAGCTGTTTAAAGAGGACTTTAAAGCTTTCAATAAAAATGTGGATGGTAGAAGCACCCAGGGAAGACGAAAGAGAGCGTCATGCTTTCGCTAGCACGTGAACGTGTGGTCGCTATGGGCAGTGAAACCGCTTTTCGGAGCAAAGCAAATTTCATGTGGAGGAAGAAGCAGGAAAATCTCTGTGTGGAATTAAAGAATATGAAGAACTTTGCCTGAATTCAATAGTTTAAAAAACAAACGTTATAGATCATAGCGATGTAAATTCGTCTGGTTGGCGTGGAACCGCCAAATCGTGAAGGAACAAGAGTCAATAACTGCACGCAGCATTTTGTTACTAGTTAAAACTACATGCGAGTCGGGTTTGCCTTTAAAAAGACGGGAGGCATGGGGCAGTCGGTCTCGCGCCTGCAAACAAGGTGAAACGGTGACGTCGATTGACGTCACTGTCACACCTCGTCATGACAAACGCTGACGCAAACAGACTGATCTAAGACGTAATAATTTCCAATTCCAGCTCTAATATTGAATTGATGAGGGGCAGATCCGATATTGTAACTTATGAATGCTCCTTTGTTTCAGAGGAAAAATTAACACCATCTTTAATTAACGAAAAGCTTGCCTTGTATGCCTTGAAGTAAACACGAAATAAGTTGAATTTTGGGGTGAGTATATTAATATCGTTTAAAAACGACTAGAGAATACCTCGAACGGGTTTACTTACTTAAAGGAAACCAATTATGTCGATGATATGAATCGAGAAAAAAGCACTTAGACTTGAATTCTTCGAATGAATTTGAAGCTTTCGTATAACCCATTATCAATAACTATACCCAAGCAATTTTTCCTCTACAAATACACGTTCTTCCTTTCTAAATCTATGCAATAAACAATCTCACTCGATCTTCTATTTTATATAATAATATGTGCCAGCTCACCAAATTTTATATATATATATATATATAAATTAATTTAAATTAAACTATTTGAAAAACGCGTTTTTTGCTGCCTGTGATTCAAAAATAACGATTAGCCGATGTCAAATAAACTTGGAAAGTGGACTAATGGCACAAACACTACAGTCACTCCATTACGAACCCTGATCATTTGCTAACTGGACATTGACCGTTAAGTTCAAATTCAGAAAAAGTAATTTTTTTATGTAAAATCTCAACCGCATAGGTAAAATGTGACTAATATTAGCAGGCAGGTAGTGTTGCGTTCCGCAAGAGAGAGCAAACCGATCAGCAGATTGGACCATACAGAATTCTTCAGTTTCGTTTAAAATCGACTCCTTGAGCAATAGACATTGCTCGTCAAGAGCAGCGCAGTGAGAAAATGAAGTACAGCATATTATTCTCTCTCTAGCTTGGAAGCTAGTGCCTTGCAGAAATGCCATGTCAATCAATAAAACGCTATCAACATGACTACGGTATGCCTCCGTCGTTGTCATTTTCTCCATACACATATATATATATAGGAAAAATCATTATCCTTTTTAAGGAAAATGACCTAGTCAGGAATGATTTACTACAAGGAAGCACCGAAGCTTGTACACACGTATGTTTTATAAAAGGGCTATTTTTAGATATAAAAGTGGAACACCAGCATGATCAAGAACGTGATCATGGAGTCAACGTATCAACAGGAAGGAGAAATAGACAAAATACAAAGGTACAGTCTATGAGAAAGGCAGACGATGTTAGTAGATGGAAGCAGGCGGCCATTTTTGAACGTCTTCATTTCTACGTGGCCTCACCGAGCCAGCCGAACAGAACAGATCCGAGAGAGGTCTGATCGCATCGTCGACTTCATAGGCTCCAACCGAGGCTCTCCGCGCTTTGCTGTTGTCATGGCCGTCATTGATGCTGCTCCTCGTGCTACTGATGTCGATGGTGTTGCTTCAAAGCGGACATCCATCTATCGGAGTCGCAATCTTACACTCTACTACTACTACTACTCCGACTTACACGAACGAAGCTGAGCGAGGCGTACCGGCCAAGCAGTTAACGGCAAGCCTACGAACTCAGTTACTATATACGTCCTGACTCTAAACTCATTCTTCCGTATATTTCTCTACGATTATTTGCAGCGGCGGCTGCGTAATGTCTCTATGCTGGTAGTAGAATTTGCAGCTCCTACGCTTAAACATCTGATGGAGTCGCTATATTGGGATACGATGGGGAGATTTGGCGCGCTGACGAACTCTGGGGGTTGGTCCGAGCAGCAGATCAGAAGCGTCTACGTTATGCTGTTTAAGCAGAAACAGTAATAGCAGCCATCAAAGGCAAGAAGGTCCGCCGATTGGCCAGCCAATGTCTGGATTTGCTCTGCCACTCATCCCGCTGCCTATGAGGAAGTAATCCCACTTTGTAGGAGACAAGTTAAGTAGCTCGTGAAAACTTTAGATCGTTTGCCACTGGCTAAGCTTTTTTTGGTTTCGGCCTCAGCCTCTTACTGCCACCAAAAAGCTAGACTGCTTATACTGTCAGCGTGGGGACTACTGCACTTTGCCCCCACCGTTGCTGTGATGGCCACTGATTCGGCCAACGGCATTGGTGTTGATATTGATGCCATGTTTCTAATGGGAACGGCGGTGCAGCTATTCTGGTTGCTGTTACTGCTGCCGGAGTCTGGCGCTATCGCCGCATAGCAGCACCCTTTATAAAGAGAGCAACGTCAAGTCAAGCGAATGCAGTGGAAGTAGCGGTAGCAACGAGTAGAGTTACGAACTGTGTGAAATGTCGGCGCTTTTGGAAAGCGCTACACCATCAGGAAGGGGCTCAAACATCACGGGGCACAGGCAACTGGAATAAAGGCCAAGCCCCACGGAAAAAAAGTAGCAATATCGGTCAGTCCCGACGCTGTAGAGGAGGAATGTGTGTTCAACCTTCCTATATAATTTATTGTTATTAGATGAATATAGCTGAAGATCGGGTGTCTCCTTAATTCATGTTGACTGAATTTATGGGACGTGATAAGCGGGCGGCAGTAACGATAACGTCGATAGATGTCAATATGACGCAAGTGGATGAGTAGACGTAATAAGAAAAAATTAAAAAGTTAATAAGAAATAAAAATGTCAATTTGACAGACTAAGTTATTGCCGTTCTGCTGATTACAGGAGAGGCTTAAGGCTGCGCTATAATTGAGTCATTTTTGATAATACCGGGTTTCCAGGCATAAGAATAAACACACCAGCTGAGGTATATTTTCAGTTTCTTACTCGTTGCATATATTATTATGACTATTGTATTATCCAACAAACATTCAGACAACTGTTTGTCAACAAAGATAACGAACTTTAGCGTCTCCAACATAAAGGCAGTGAGCCGCTGTTTCGTGCTCGTTACTTTCACCTAAAAATTAAAGAATCATTTGTTTTAATTTGCACTATTTTACTTACCGAAAAATTTCCAAAAATCTTGCTGAGTGAGCTATGCCTGTAACCTAAATTATACCTATGATAAAGTAGAAATCAACGTCGTTTAGAAATTTAGTTTTGTCTTTAGTGTATTTGCACAGCGCAATTCACTCGTTGAACAGATTTGTGAAACCCAGAATTTACAGATGCCCACCGGCTTTCGTAATATTTAAGTAGCATACTTACATCTTCGCTGGCAGCGTAATAAACTGGCGGGCCATGTTTATTGTCGATGTTCGGCCACTTATAGACAAATGAAACTATCTCAAAAAACACCTTTCGTTAGAATCAATTCTAATCATAGTAGCGAGTTTAAAAAAAGGCATAAGAGGCTAATCAATGGGCACCTTTCCATTTAGAACACATATATATGGACAAATAGTGTATACATCCTTAAATCATATTAATAATCATTTTGAAGGTTGACAGACTAAACAGCAGTGACGTGTTTACGTGTTGGTATGATCGAAATCTAGGAACACCTGTGGACATCGGATACTCGGAGATCGATCTCAGAAAACGGTATCGATCATCGATCATGCTGTCTAAACTACGCTATTTACGAAGATTGTAGATTCAGATGATCAACGTTTTTTGAGCTCTCTCAGTTGGCTATTTTTAGTTAATTTGTGCTTTAATACACGAGTCGGCACCACGCTTATTCCTAACCATCCCCCTTTTTTCTTTGCATTAACTTGTGACAGTTGTTTCCGCTGTTCTCTTGAGCCGGCCGGTCTATTGAATTACCGCATCACCACCAAACCAATAAAATATGATCTACTAATAAACATAGATCTACCTGATAAACAAAACAGAGTAGATGTTACAAATCGTCTCCACGTATTTATTTGATTTCCTATCTATATACAGGTATATCACAGTGGGAACATATTTAGAATTTTCAGTTTTATATAAAATAAGTAATTTCTTAAGCAAGTATATAGTTTTGAAACATAATTTATTATTTCGACATGTTCCATCTCCGTCCGTGTCTCTATACCTTGTGACTCTGATACCTTAACTTTTACTCCCCATAGCCTCTCCCACCATAGGTACTATGCTTTTTGGTTGCATTTGTTATAACAAACTTCCACATACATTGAGTGGCTTTACTGGCTCGAATTAGAGGTGACATTCGTCTAACTTTGTATTTCTATAAGAACCGGTTTTGTACACTGCACTTCTCTCGTTAAAGTTGACTTCAACGGGATTTCGTTCGTATCCTCGCTTCTGCATCAGCCTGCCTGTCTTCACCACATGTCTGCGTGCCTTTGCTGACCTAGTGTCGGTGTTGTTGTTACTATTGTTGTTGTCGAAGTAGTTTTGATTGTGAGCAAAAGGTTACCTTCCTCTATCCCTGAAACGAGTGGGACACTTAGGTCGGTTTTTTAGCAGATATAAGTAAACACGAGGATCAAAGGAAACCGGACTGTGTCTCCGTCTTGTATTTAGCCCTTGGATCTATACAATCGCGGCTCAGCAATGTTTGGTCATACAACGTTGGGCTGTTGTTAGCCACCAGGGAGCACGTGAGGCTCGAGGGAGCCATATACTCTCCTGAAGACGTAGCCAGAACTGGATCTGCTGACAGGCAATGACCGGAGACTGCCATTCTCATGACGCTACCACTACTGGATACTCTATCCCGAGCATCAGAGCCACCAAAGACGTTGCCAATAGCAGTGTCTATCCCTCCAATGGCTGGTCTACCACAAGTTAAAACTTGAGGCCTTCTTAGCGGCAAGGCATCCTTTAGAGAGCAGTAGGGATCTCCGTCTGAACTGGCCAAAGTTCTTGTCGGTTGATGGTGGGATGCCATTTCTTCTGGAGATGGCAATACAGGCTGCGTCGCGATATCCGAGCAAATGAGCGGGACAACCAATTCAACCGAAACACAACCGTCCTGGGTGCCTTTTGCGTAGGAAGATAGCTCGTCTTCGTCCTCCATCGAAGGCGCCTAAAGGGAGAATAGACAGGAACGGAAACAGGACAACATCTCGTTCTACGACTTTCTCATGCTACGTCTCTACAAAAGTAACCTTGGACGAACAACAACTTGCAAAATTTTGGAATAAAGCAGCCAAAATATATACACTCGCCCATAAAATTTTAAGCAAAGATAGCGAATCAGGAAACATTACAACGTCTGAGCATGAATTTATTAAAGCGTAAAGAGACAAGTATTGGATATTAAATACTTAAATGCCGATGATACTAAAGTCCTTCTGAGCGCTTTGTTCAAGAAGAATGTAGTATAACTGGTCTACATTTTGCAGTCCTACTTCTACAGGTGGAGTCAACTGTTCGATGTTATTCTGGCAACATGGACTAAGGCAAATTTGCTCAGGCTCTATGAATTTTATACAGCGCTTTTTGCCGTATTTCCGTTTCAAAATATTTAACATACGTGAACGTACTTACCGCGTGACAGCATCTCCGGTTGAGACTGAGCTGGTGTCACGTGGTTCGGGCTACTACAAGTAAAAAGGCTGTCTGCAAGACAAGAAGCGGCCCTAAAGTGTACACTGTAAATAGGGGTTTTGTCGAGTGTCCCTCTGACGCCTCTGATGAAGACTGACGCGCCAGCTGCTCCTCTTCTGAAACAGCATTTAACCGTATACAGAAATAAATGCTGAGAAAGATTCGACCACTTGGCGACGTTTATCTTACTGTTTACATTTTCAAAGAATCTAACGTAATATAACAATGTGAGTGGTAAAGCATTTGTTTGTATTCAGTAAAGCAAGATACATCTCTTGTCATTTTTTACGTTTAATTACGTTTAAATACGTCCAGCTTGTAGGACTTCGCTAGAAATTTTCTTTAAATGGTACGTGTATGTGATGAATTGTTAGTTTAACGCCTTTAGTCATTCGCTATTCCATCCATACCACATATTTTTAACTTGGGATATTGCCAAAGCCACCAATGTTAGACCCGTTTACTTTATGGAGTATATGTTCGGCCTAGAGATCAAACTCAGCACATAACACAAGTCAGCGATCTAGATTTTGTAGTTTCTTGAAAACTATTTTTAAGAATAGTATACAGGGAAGCACAAATATTTAATTTACGTATCGTTGGTCTCCGGTAACATTTGTTGTTAAAAAAAAAAAAGGTGATATCTTGTAATATTGTACTGAGTAAGTTGCATTCTGCGACACAAGACAGCAGACATTTATTTGTTCTGTGTGACATGTTTGTCAAGTTATTTTTAGCGGAAACATAATAATTTTAATTGCGCCAGTGCTAGGGCAGCCTATCTCACTAGATTTTTTTTTGCATCTAATAAACTCACTCTTGCAAGCAAGTTCGATGGAAGCCGGTAACCAACTTTATACAATCTAACTGTTAAGGGAAGCTTCAATTACTCTATGTAAAGTAGGGTAAGGGTTTTTTTTTATCATCAGCTACACTATTAGGGGTTAATTATTATTAGGGGTGTAATTAATTTATGCGCTAGCGAGCAGATCTGCATGCAACTGATATTTGCATCGTGCATGAAGTAAATGGGATATTTGTTTTTCAGATTAAGCTACCAGGTCTTTCTCGAGTTATCCTTCCGACTATACAGATATATTAAATGTTTCTTGTTTCGTGTCTTCGTTCTGGTCATCGAATGTAATTTAGAGTTCTTGAACCGATCGCACGTAACTCCTACTGGAGCTAGAGTTAGCTTTGGCTTTGCTGAAGATGTGAGGCCACTCAGGCTATGCTAGTGAAGGTACTCAGTAAGTCAGCAATCAATTTCGCCATTGGAGACAAGGTCATATCCGGCTTATTTCATCAAGAGACATGCGAAATCACGCCAAGAATGGTCCAGTTAATGCGAGTTAACGAAATCTGTTTCTTCTGTTAATTATTTAACGACAATAAGTCTATTTGTATCCAGTAAAACGTAGTTGTGAGGTACAGTCATATTCTAGAGCTGAGACAAGAGCATTGTCGTACTCATTGAAATCAGGGCCGCCATGCCGAGTTTCTTCACATGATGAAGTGGTGAAGTAACCCTACATGTAGAAAATAAGCGTTTCATTTTCCCGTTGAAGAAGCCATCTGTGGTAATCTGAGTTACTACTGAAGCTACAGTAAAGGTAAGGAGCTGGTAGTGCCCCCAGGAAAACTTTGACGCCCCTTTTGTGTGACGGATGGCTCGACGCAGAACTTATTTGCCATACACTATAAAACAAGGTCTGTTTCAAACTTGAAACTGAGTATATTTGGAAAAATGCAGGTTATTTGGGTATATATATAGGTTAAAACATTTTTTTGGGGAGAAAATTACAGGTATAATAGGTACCAGTTAGCACTCAGTGATCCTTTAATGCTGCTTTTAAAAGCAAATTAGTTGTTTCATAGCCCCGTCGTACCACCACATCTACCGTTGGATCCAATGTATCCCTGATATAATGTGTTTTTTCCTGGATACTTGGGATGAATCAGATTTAAACCTTGCTTCGGACACACGTCGCTTATTAGAATACAGTAGTATTGTAGGTAGAATTAGGCAACGCTTATGCTAGTCCCATTTGAAGAGAAGGGTTAAGGATGAGCTACAAGTGAAGAGTTCAATTAGGTAATTGCTAACTTTTACGGCTAACAACACGGCTTCCCACTTTATTTAAGCTCTAACCAAAGTTAGCAGCTTTCTAGCTATGAACATGTTTATGCCCAACTTCTGTTTAGTTAAAGTTAACTTTCAAAACCGCAGTTTAGATTTGTTTCCTTTTCCTAACAGAGTGACAAGCGGCACATGACTTCGAATAGTTTTCATTGGTATTGTCTATATCTAATTTTTCACGAAGCAGTTCGTAGTATTCGAAGGCACATCCCGATAACTCATCTATCTGTAAAGAAAGCTAGTTGATATACGCGAATATGTGCACATAGCACGGATTGCCCCTATCATTAAAGCTATGTTTATGTGTTGGTTAGAGACTCGAGCTAGCATGATTAGCACCTGATCTAGCAATAGCTAGATATTTCCGGTACATTCTTAGGACAATAGCTCAATGGATTTTATCTCGCTATCCCTTGATTTATAAAATTGTGATTCGGAACAGCGGCGATTCCCACAGTAAACGTTAAGGAATAGTTATTCGAAGTGGCTCACAGTACGTAGTAGGTACCTACGAACTCTCATGGTCCGTCCACGAAGCTTCTTTCGCCTCGAGGGTTCGACTCCGTTAGACGTAATTAACCAAAACAGGAATAAATTGGACTTAGGGGCCTGCCTAGAAATTTTAAGGAGTTAGGGGTACACGCAACCGTTGTTCAACTCATAAGAAATTACAGCAGACACCTAGAATTTGTCAGTTGTAAGGCGGAGTACCTTTGAACCACTATCCTGCTTGAGTTATTCAACATTATTTTTATATTTATTTATTAGGTTATATGAGCTCAGTTATATTTCTACCTACAACAGAGCTTAAAGTCTTATTAGGAAAATTATATTATATAAATAAGAACAGCTTATGAATGTATGTGTAGATATCTGCTTATTCGGAAGATGATCGCAATTTTTGTCTCTTCGTTAGTTTGTTCCCTTTTTTTGTTGGCCGAGGATGAAATGTTATGAACTGCGCGAAAGTATTTCATCGCTCTCTAAGGTCGCCAGTTCACCGAAATCAGAAAGACTCCAACGGTTATGTGTGTGTGTGAAAAAGTGGTCTTGCACTTGGGTCACAAAAACTGTTGCAGCAACGGTGGATAAATGTGGGCTACCCGAGTTTGGACTTTTGTAGCTCACTACGTTCGGCTAAGGCGTTTTCGGCCGAAAGAAAGCACTTTATTAGGCCTTATAAGTTCCACGAAGACTTTAAAAAATACATTTTAGTAAAGTCTGTATCTCTTCACTATGAAGTTTTCAGTGTGTGCGAAACAAATATCGTAAATAGCTTTTATGGCTTGTCGATACCGACAATCTCACAAAATCGCTTATTTTTCTTTCTGCATGGAGTTCAAAGCAAAAGGTAAATTTTGTAGGACCCAGGTGCACATCGTGCGTCAGAAGAGTCAGACAGCTGCTCTCGGAGAGAATCAAAGCCAAAAAATTCGACCGATGTTGTTTGTTAATCGATTTTCTAAAGTAAAGCGTCTCCAACTTTCTTCCGTGAGAATTTTTTTATCCTTTATTCAAAAATGAGCCGCTGGTATGATCGGTAGCTTACTCGCGATTCATAGGATGTATCTAGCAGATTTTCGGTCAAACGTAATGTTCTTAGTGTAGCGTCCAGAGGAAAAAAAGTTATGCCACTACAAGTTTTTTTTCCAGAGAGGCAGGTGGGTTACTTAGTAAGCTTATGTGTTCTATAAACTTTTGTGCAATCGTGGACAGCTGAGATGTCTTTCAACAAAATCGTGCAACAGCTTCTACCAGCCAATTATTATAGCGTTAATTGCTTGAGAATACAAGCGTGTTCTGAGATGAGCGCATATGGTTACTGAACAACCCATGTTTGAGCCCGTTGCATTGCTATACTCAAAGCATTATCAAGCGAGAACGAAACCCGTTTCAACATGACAACGTGGACAATTGCAAAGGGAACATTGAAAACGAGTAGTTTGTGAGGGGCTTCGGGCCCGAACTGGAGCTTTGGTCACGATATTGATGGTTATATTGAATAAACATGACTGTCAGGAGTAATACTCTAGCACACTTAATTATATATATGCATATATACCACTGTACGCACGCTAACATGGGCATATTTATTTGACGTTTTGTTATAGCCTAGTTCTATACGCCTTGAACACAATGGACAAAAACGACCTATAACATAGATGAACCGGGCAATGCATAAACTAATGAGGACCATGTCTCGCTCTCTTGCATCAAACTATGCTAATGTATTTTGCCCCAAATTTTTTTTTTGCCTACCTTGGAGCACGTGCACTTGCACCCTAGCTGGGGCCGAGTCAACTGGGGCGCAGGTATAGCTTCCTGAATGGTGTTTTGCTGCGTTCTGAATGACGAGTTGCGAAATCTGTGTAGGTCCGTCTGTTAAGCTGAGTCTAGTCACATCTTGCCATGGGTTATGTGGCTGTAAGCTGGTAATGTTGATACGGTGACGCGAATCTCCGCTATCGTAGTTGACTACTCGATCGCCGTGGTACCAAAATATGTGAGTTGGAGGCAGAGGGCAATCATATATCACGCATGTTAAGCTTACGACGCTACCGCCGTTAACGAACACCTCGCTTCCCTCGAGAATTGACGCGTGTGGAGCTGAAATCATAGATAACTAGGTGGTAACGTTGATCAGATAGGCTCCACACAGATAAGTTTAATCTTACCAAATCGTCTTTCGACGTATATATTTGTCTCTGTATAAGCTGAATGAGATAAGGATACTTCGGCGATATATCTTCCTTCTGAATTCTGACTATTCTATAATATTTTCGAAAGTTGCAAATTTTTCCGCGAGGTGTCTGTCTGCATTACAATGGTATTCCATAATATCTACTTACAGAGAACGTTGAGGGTTATTTGTGAACTGATGATGGGGTACCGCGTGTTAACCTGACATTCGTACTCGCCAGCGTCCCCTTTTTGTACATTTCGAATCTGCAGCATCCAGTCTTCGACAGACGCTGTCGAGGGAACTGTGATGATCTGTCTGGAGCTTTGATTAACTAGATCAGAACCATTGCTAGCGGTTACTGTTGTGAACGACAGGGCATGCGGCATTTCAATACGTACTGCTGAAAATCGTTCATCTGTTGTATACGTGATAACTCCCACCGTTAAAATATGGTAGTCGGCGCGGCGAATCCACGTCACCTACAAATAAAAACACTCACATGAATCACAGCTCCTGCTGATTATATAAATGTGGACCGGTACAAGTAAGTTGACACTGTCTATGTTACTTGCAGGTTTGTCGTCATTATTTTACTTTTAAGTTATAATAAGGAATACGGTGCCAAATAACCAATACTGTGTAGAACGACTCATATGCTTATAACCTATCCGCCAAACGGGAGACTATCAATTAGCCTGGGGGCCTATTCTGTACTCCTTATGTGACGATCTGTGCCAGTAGTTATTACGTCAGCTCACTTAATCATATAGATTGCATCCAGTTATACTTTCCCCATATCGGCACTCAACCTTATTAAGTTCATGCGTCTGAGTGTTAACTCAAATTTTCCAGTTCATTAATATAACTACTACTACTACGACTATTTAAAAAAATATATAAGAAAATAACGGATTCTCATGCACGGTAGCATAAATTTCGTTCGATGAATTTTTTAGCAACTGACGGTTTTCTGTCCGGCATTATGCACGTAACAATGAAGGTAAGCTGTAGCTCCCAACTGGCCCGTTACATTCGTCGGAGTTAGGGTGTGATTGATGCTGGGTGGCGGCGCATGCGGCCCGTGAAGGCCCAGACTGCTTGAAAAGCCTTTGGCAAAGGTCCCTCTTGGTGCCAAAGAGCCTTCTCCTTTAGCTGATTCTGTGCCGGAGTCCTCATGCCATCCTGCCGAAGGCCGCCTATCTGAGTATCGTTGACCTTGAACAGATGAAATGGGCTCGGTTAGCTTCGATTTAGACTGTAAAATATTTTTACATAACCCAACGTGCATAGAAGATATCTGAGTAGGCAGAGACTCAATATAATTATAGAAATGACGAGAAAATCCAGTGAATTAAGAATGAAAACAAATTTTTACACAAAAAAAGTGTTGATCTAAAAAATGGGGTTTTGACCGTTTAGAGCCTTATTGTAATGATCCAAATAGCTCAAAAAAACCTAGATAATGATACCATGGAGCAGACAAAAGAATTGCACTTTATGTATCATGTTGTTAAATCACAAGTTTTTGTAGAATCTGTATTGAACGAGATTAAATAAAGACAATTAATGCTACACACAATCGAAGTTCGTGACAGAGTCTTCCAGGACAAACTTTTCGATCGTAGACTTTCACAACACTGATGGGAACCCCGTCGAAATGTAAAAGAAAGAAATTATCTTGTGTTGTCTTTAGCCAAAATTATTACTCAGTTGGCAAAACAATATCATCTTGAGTTAACTCGAAGAACGTAAACAAGTACATTTTTCGACAAATTTCGATCGATGTAGAAGTACTACCATGTTTGACGCATCTTATAATCATATTAATAGGTTTATTTATTGCGATACACCTGTTACTTTACATAAAAGCAATATAATCAAAGTGTACACGTATCCAAAATGCAAATGTACCTATAACTAAAGTGTGCATAGTGCACATACAACGAACATGTAATCAAGAGATGAGTTCAGCCAAAGCAACCGTTCAGAGATGGTGTGAAAAACCTTCAAGGGGTACGAATAGGAAGACTACTTGTTAGTGCGTCATACATTTGAATCAAATCTACAACCTTAAAGCGTCTTTTATGTACAACACCTAATTGGGACAAACAATACGCGATGCGCAGCATCCTTTCGAAAATGTAAATGTCTGAAGCTATTTTGATAGCAATTTTAGTACTTGTCAGACACATATAATCTGAAATTTTTTAAGACTACCCAACACAATTGGGTGGACACGGCACAACATCATGATGGGGAAAGCAAAATAAATAATTTTATAGCGAAAATAGGAATATTTGACTTCAAATTTTCCCTGTGAATTTTTAACGTTTCTCGGCAGTAGTAATTAGGTGATTTTGGAGAAAGTGTTTTCGAAACAGGAACACCTTGTGCATGTCTGATGCTCATAAGCTAGACTAATTCAAATTATCGCGCCGCAAGGAGGTCGCCAAACTTAGCACTGCGTTTTCGGGTCAGTTTGATACCATTGACTACTACAACAGTTTGTTGTGGTTGCATTCGATTTCGATGGCCTAATAAACATACGTATGATTTTACGGAACTGAGATGAAAAAGTTTTAGCACCGATACGAATCTTGATCGATTGTTGAGTGCACCTCTTGAATTTTTCGTCAATTAGGCGACACATACCGATTAAAAACTGGATTATTATGCTGGGCTTTGAGCATCTTTGAACGCCCTGTTTTGACTGGAAAAACGCACAAAATATAAGTGAGATCCCTACAAACTGTTAGGTTAGGTTCGTTTAACGACCCTGACTTGTTAAATATTTTCTGAGTGAAGTTACCACGCGACGGTTAGACATTCGAAAATAATTGTAGCATGGCAAGATTCCGACGCTAGATATCTGCCAAGGAGACCGGAAGATGTTCTTTTTGGCTCTGACAAGCGCCGCTATGTCAGGTGTCGTAAGCCAGCCCACGAGCGGGTAAGCGTGTCATTTATATACTAGTTGTAATAATATTGTTTCTTCGTGTATACAGGTCACATGCGCTGGCGAGATCTGCTATAGTAAATGCGGGGCGAAATATACCATCTGGTTGGTATCATCTTGAGTTGTTGTGAGAGGGTTGCTTTTGTAAAACTTTTTATGTATAGAATTTTTTTATGTACGATTTTTTTTAACATGTTTTCACAAATATGTGAATTCTGCAACGCATTCAACTGGAGAGAACTCTCACACATTCTGTTGAGGGAAGTAGTTGCATGATCTCAGTTCAATTATACTAGCCCGATTACGTAGAGGTTTCTCAAATTTTTCAACGTCGTTCTCGACGTTGAGTGACCGGGCAGTCGTAACGACGTCATGCAAAATCACAGCGAATTAACTCTCTCCTGGTCGAAGCCGGAGGGGACGGAAAACTGTTTTCAGCGGGTAAACCCAGTAGGACTAAACGTTATTCGAGAGTACGAGCCATGCCGCCCTCAGCCTTTCTATGTGACATGTACCTTCATCATCTTAAAGTGCCTTCGATGACCCTAGGTTTTTTGGATCAGATCATGTGACTAATTGTGTTTGTGGTAGTGATTATTAGAACCTAATGTTAGTTTTGTACGTTCGAAATCACGTAGTCTCGTATGATTCATTAGGAAGTCACCTCGAGCAACTACTAGAAACCGGCGTGTAGGGCGTTATGGGTTAGATTATTTGTCTGTGAATAGATAGAGAGATCTAAATGTATACAGATCGCATGTGCGAATCAATTCCATTGTCTTTTGTTACGCAGCGTATACCAAGACACGACCTAAGTTGCTGGAGGTATTAATGAAGATCTTGTTGATCAAGGCCTAGCGTTTTTATTGGATTAATAAGGGTCTAATCTAGATACGCGTTTAGACATTAGAAGATTTTGTATTGTGACTAATTGGCACTTTGTTCGCCCATTGCAATTGAATGCATTCATAGATCTGTGTATATAGTCCTGCTGCGCATTCATCAAAGTGTATAATCCTGTTCCCCTTGCAGGGCCGTATCGTTACCATACGTTCTAGGAAGTGCGATCGTAGAAATACGGCAATCCAATACAGTGCTTAGCTAAACACTAAGTGGTCATTTTGCCACCGTGCTACCCTGCACGTTTGCATAGCTAAATGGGGACAAAATATCTAAACTTAGTAAAATCCTACGGATTACTTATAGCTTAATCCGCGGATGTTAATCCATTATACCGTTTTAACGCATCAAAGCAGTGTGATCGCTCTTGGCTGGCTCATAGATTCAACTTACAGATGCTGATTATTTCTCAGATTCCAAAGTTCGTTTGGAGTAGCTGCTGGACTAGTTTCTGCATGTAGATCATAGAAAACTGACTGGTGACATTACGTGATATTGTTTGTTGATTCATAATAACAATAATAATAATTGTTACTGTTAGTGTAAAGAAAAGAAAGAGAAGGTTTTTCAGAATCTAAACACATTATATAGAAAATAGAATTCTAGTACGAGGAACAAACCATTTAGTAAATTCGCCGTTCTCGTACTGTGCCCCATCCAACCTATGTAGTCGTTGTAGTATGCAGAACGTGTACATTTGCCTGATTTTCACTCTCCTTCATCGAACATTTTTTCTTTGGTCATACAACTTTGACAACTCCAATACTCAACGTTTTATTCCTCTTATGATAGCTGAAATCTTAGCAGATATTTAGTTATTTTTGCTCCCCATAAAAATAGCGCGATCTACTCAACGAGTCTACTGGTGGCAAAATGGTATCATGCATCAACTACGTCCAATTCTCTGCCATTACAGTGAGCTATTATCGTCACGAGCAGTGCTGACTCATGTTGTCTCTGGGCTTTCTCTTCTTTTTTCGCTGCCAAGCCCACGTCCGTATTACGAACCCGCATCTTTCTTGCTGGTCGTCGTGGCATGGCCTTCTGTCATCTGGCTATTTTTTCTCTCTTGTCCGCTGTCTTCTCTATCTGCCATCTGTGACATCGAAGTAGACTGGTTTCTCTGGCTACCCCCAAGGCCAATTTCCGGAAGCGACAGTTAGCATAGCTGTGAGGAAGACGTTTACGCTAGGACTGAGCGGGACGCATGACAATGATAGACGACGAAGAGGACAACGACAAACGAAGACGGCGAGAGACATGGGCAGCGAAAAGAAGCTACGTGTGGAGTACTACCAACCTAAACTCAAAGGAGAATTGGAGCCACCTATCTTTTCTGGTCAGAGAGGCCAGAAAAGACGCGGTGCAAGCCTTTATGGGACATCTCCTCTGATACGAGTTGAGGACGCTATGATGGCGACAGGTGGCGGCAAACTTCACGCAAGCGAACTGGCACGTAACACAGGCGAGATACACATGTTCGCCCCAGTCCAACTAGGCAGACAACGTAGCTATTTACCCATACTGCCAGGGTGGAAAGAACGGAGAGGCAACGACAGCCGGCCGCAATAGTAGACAACAGAAAAACCCACGACGAACGAGCGGTGGCAGAGTACGTTGCGTTGAGTGCTCATTGTTGTGGCCATCGCAAGAAAGAAAAACGAACGCTAGCAGCCGACGAGATGGAAGCTGACCATCAAGTTCCGCCCGCCCCTCAATCAAGATAAAGATAGAAAAAAAAAGTTTGGGCAGCAAGAGCTCATTCAGCCAGCGGTGATTCGAAGGTCCAAGACAAGCACCACCTCTGCAACCGCTGGAGCATCCCGGAAGTGAGCATCGCTTCTTCTATCTGACGGTTTTTGCTCCTGTTGCCGTAGCTCTCGTAGAAGAGTCATATCACATGAAACCGAGTGGGCGTCTGCCATATGAACACAAAGGTTTTTGTCTTAAACTACCCGTTTTTAGTGCTCTATGCCTGGGCTATCACATACATATAAAATTAATAGGCGGTAGGTAGTAAAAGACTGTACTAAAAAAAAGTGTAGAGTGCTTTCCCCACATGGCCAAAAATAACCGTGGACTGTACACTTTGATTTTATTAGGAAATGGAGAAGTACTTTATATTTGTCTAATTCTATGCCATACTTTAGCTATTATGGTTACATCCGGTAACCTTTCTTGTTAGCTCGCTATGTGCGTACGAACCTCGCTAATGTGCGAACTTCGTCTACGGACATCGGAGGTCATGTCCGGGTATATGCCTGGGTTGTTTGGGACATTGACCAGCTCTTTCTAAATTCACAGATTCCTCCGTCCTGGTTGGTTTAGTACTGCTTGTTTTATTAGTCAACATATCTGTGACCCTACAAGGGCGCACCCTTAAACTTAGCTAAAATGCAGTATGTTCGCGACAGTGCAACGGTTCAAAGTTTCGCCCTTGTTTTCAAATGGCATGCAAAAGAGCCAAACACATGACTCCTCTCCTTTATAGATATCGATATATCTATAGGTTGATATACGTATTAAGCTTCACAAATCTCCAATGATAAACATGTCTAAAAGAGTTTTAAACATGATCTGATCTTTTATCGTAAATAAAGAACGTCTTCAATCACTAAGCTAACAAATACATGGTAGACAGAAACTTTCACGGTTCTCTTGTTAAATATTCTCTCAAATCTAACAAACAGACATGTACTTTACGTGCCTACTATTCCTAATTAATCACTAACGGAGCATAATTCAAGGGCCATCGACAAGGTTATCTGGACCCTAAAGACGTAGTTTCCAGGAAAGACGTCGTTGAAAAAGGTTACAGTTATAAGTTGTCACTCTTTCAGGAACATCAACACAAAAACAAGAGCCTATGGGAAGTTTCTTAGGTAATTATACCTAGGAAAACGTTTATTACGCAGGATTCACGCAGGAAGGTAAGAACATCGCGATAAAAGTAGCGCTTCGGCTAACTTAAGTTATCGCTATTTAACTGTATCATATTTTCACTTCTATTTTTATTATACACTATATTTATTCTCACCAACAATATATTACTTCGCATAATGGTTGTCTATGCATCGTTGTCAGTAACCTTCGACATCACGTTGAGACTTATTGAGTCTCAACATGATGTCGAAGGTTACTTCGCCTATTGAACTTCCCTATTGAGAAACAGTCTAGATTTTGAATACGCGGTACTCTGTGGGAGCAATGTCTGGCACTTATGGTAGATAACGGATAACGTTCTGCTGTAACTCCTCCATTGTTGCCGCCTTGGTGTGTCATCTAATAGAAACTTTTTCATCAGCCTTTTCAATTATACACAGCACACTTTAGCCGTAATCCAGCAGATAAAGTAAAATTCATTAAGTTAAAGTGGATAAGATCTGCATCAAACCAGAAAGCAAACAGCAAAAGCTTTTGCAGCTGCATATTATCTAGGAAAATGAACTTGATCGTCTGCGACTATCGCAGAAGATCGATTCCTCATCGCAGGCCACAATTCGGTGCAATAATAGATCACTATTTGAATGTGAGAACAAAAATAAGCATCGTTACATCTGTTTTATATCCTTGCCCAAATCATGCGGCACCCATTTGTCTAATTGTTTTACCGAATAAAGTTAAACAAAGCAAATAGGTATGCTATTGTTATCTGTATTGAACTGGAATACGAACAGCCGCGCGTTCAATTTTTTTTTGCAAGCTATCTGCCACAAAACTCAGTTTCGGGTTTAGAATTTTTTCTAAAATTCTTTGAAACAGCGATTTATGGTGCCTCTAGTGGTAGAACCTCCACCGAATACAACGTTTATACGGTGAGCTGTCCTTATCGGAACATGGAACTTATTCTATTTTCATAAACCATTAGAATGTTTTTTCTAATTTCTCATGGCTCACTACACTGTTGTTCCAGAAAATAATAATTTTAACTATGCTTAATGCACTAAAACGGTCCGCTTCGTTCAGTATCGAATACCACGCATTTAACACGAAATGTGTGGGGGACAAAAACTCGTTTTAATGATTTCTATATCCAGAGTAAAGCCTAGCTCGAAACGGAAAGTAACTGAGCATCGGGAACTTGTGATCGCCATTTTGGATTCGTGTTCACATTGGCGGTGGCACGCACCTTTTCCTTAATCCATAATCAATCTACTCTGCTGCTTTTTCGGATGATGCTGTCGTGCCATGGGGCCAGGAAACTATGGTCAGATACGCGTTGTTGAGCCTAATACGGCCAATTTCAGTTTCCACTTTGTTAAATTGTCAATCAGTTATTACCGCTGGTTCAGTGAACTAAAGTTGGCGATATTGAATCCATTAACATTACACGAAATAGGCTTCTGATTTGAAATCTGATTCAATAGAAATTTTAATTAAGCAGCGCTGAAATCTGCTGTTTATGTTATTTATCAATTTGCCACCCTTAGGCCTTGATATTTAGACAATGTTCATACATAAATCCTTGAAATTTAATTAATTCGTTCATCATATGAAAAACTTCCCGTATATCGTCTACACTTCGTGTGTCTAAAAGCTGAACTTTTTTTAAAACACACGAATCGACAAGTCGTTTTTACATCGCGTCCTGGCATGAAGTGAAGCTCCTAAGCCGCTACTAGCATCCTATTCATTCAATATTCAACCGTCTAAATAGACGATTATCTTGTCCAGATATATGCTAACTGTGTTCAAGTGTCGACCGGCAACACAGATGTAACGGAAACTGAATAAGATAGAACCAACATACGGCCCTAACCATTATTCGTTGTAACCTTTATGATAAATATGAACCTACGTTGCGCTCGAGATTTTACGGGCGAAACCGCTTTGATGAAGTTATATTACCTATTTGAAGATGTTTTGCGAAAAACTTTTAAATTTAAGGTAAGATTGGTCAGGACAACTAATCCGACGGTAATTAGTGCGTCTATCCGGTGTGACTTCTACAAGCAACGGTAGCCCGCAGGCAAATTAAGAGTCGATAAAATCGCTAAGTTCAATCCGTACGGAAGGTTTGATTAGGACACATCAACATTTTTCAATTAGCGGATCACGAACCAATTTCTCCTATTCAGTAAACGTACGCATCACAAAGATCCAGTGGACTTCAACTACTAACGTGGTAAGTTCAGGCACGATTCCGCGCTTTGCTCCTCAAGGATTCACCATCTAATAATATAGTACTGATTAGGTGATTTAAAATACATAATTTGTCCGAAGCGTAAAGTGGAAGCATCGCTTCGAACAAAATGTATGTTAACTGCTTTGGGAGAGTTTATAAATACACCCTGTTTGGGAGATGCAAGCTCAATTTTCTTTAGCTAGCTAGCATGCATGCATGCACGCATGCTTATCGTATATAAATTTCACGTAGATACAAATTGTAGAAATTGACAAAAAAATAGATAAATTCCGCCGGTCACATTGCCACGTCTGGCTTATTCTCTGGGTTAATGTTTTCGTGATTACACCGTTTACAAAAGTAAGTCATTTCACCAGGCAGGATCCTCATCATTGACTACCCTATTTGGGGTAAATTCATTTTACTTTTATTTTTAAATGCAGACTTTTATGGACTAAATGACATTCATGATGATATCAGCAACAATGTTTACCAAACTATTATCACGATTAATACGTGGACACCGAACGAGGGTCGAATGACCATCTCGCTGAAGCAACGTATTATAAACCTTCTGTGCTACGAATTTGAAGCAAGGAGAGAGTGGACGCAATCGTGCGTGCTTCATACTAGATTCGAAACAAGGAACGAGAACTGGTCCACATTTTCAATGTACAAACGCTGCGACCTCGTGTTCTACTTCGGGCCGGGATGCGGGCAAACATTTGAATTACAGATCAAAGGATAAATTTATAGATGTACTATGTTGGTTGTTGCGTCTGAGTCTCTTGTTGTTCTGTCTGCTTTACGTCTAAATTTGGAAATTCGCATACACCGACAGTGGGCTCCTTAATGTACGCAGATAAGGCAAATGCAGCACAAGTCCCCCAAAAAAATTACCTAAACGAATACTGATGGGATAATAATAAATTGTAACTATGAATGCCGGAACTACGATCTTAGATTGAATATATGTAACATTTGGCGCATGTATATTCCATTGTTCTATTATTGCAATTGCTACTCTAATCAAAATGTATTTTTGACATCATAATAGAGCCCAGTTTTGTCACACACTTTTCGGCTTAAGCATTGTTACGTAAGCTGAAAAAACTCGCCGTACGTTTCGCAAAAAAATGCGCCCATCTGCATTGTACTTTCATAGTAACTGTTTCAGTTTAACTGTCGCTGGTAGTACCGTCTGCTAGATAAATTGTTAAAAAACAATGAAACGTTTGTCGTATTTTGTTGAAATGGCCGTGGTCCTAGGTGAATAGGTTACTACATGTGAAAATAATAGAAAACTTATTGAAACGATCGTTCGGAACACATCACTAGGTAGATTTTTCGCAATTGAATTATTAATTCACCCACGGGAAAATCTTTACCTGCTGCAATTAAAGAGCCTTAATCAGCATTATAAAACACTTGACCACAATTTGTACGTAGGCATACTGAATGTATAATGAAAAAAAGTTGCCATTTATCTTTCATCGAACAACACTAACCCTGTACGGAACTTTGCTGCTGCTGCTGCTGTTGTTGTTGAGCCGTTACAATCATGACCGCAATAAGTAGCATTAACAGAGTCACGGCAACCCGGCAGAACAGCATGTTTGATACAGCCTTTGCGGGTTTTTTGTCCCAGCAATAAGCGGACTTCACGAACACATACGCAATACTGCACACAAGAAAGATGATTAGTTATCCAGATCAGGATAGCCTAGACGGTTTTCCTGATTACGTAATCACTTCCCGGTTCATACAGAGTGGGAACACCGATTTCACAAATTATTACACCTCGTTGGATAGGACGCAATTATCCTTTCAGGGCCACCCGCTTTAATCGACTACAGTATGCCTACGTAGATGCACCCAGCAGTAGATCCATGGCACAACGTTGTTCGCAAACACGTCGTGATGCGTGCTTGCCCCGTAAGGCGTGCTCAATTGGAAACAGATTTAGCGCTCGGCCATCACTACTGTCTATGTATCGGATCGATGACAGCTCCTTTGATGTATGTAACAATTCCGCTGAAACGAAAGAGTAGCTTCGAGGCGATCGAACTACGACAAAGAGTAATCATTGACGGACACGTGTACCTCATGAGCTATATATTTATAAACGAAGCACTAAAGTGATTACGGGAGTTGGTACGAAAAAAACTTTTCTCGCCCATTCGGCGTTTGTTTTTTTCGTTTTTCTTCGCTATTTCACACTATGGCAACACCAATCTCGTAGCACAATTAAATATGGCCACCTCCTGTGCACTAATAATAGCTTTTCAACAATACACATAGCACAGATATTAGCCGAGATGTTTTCTCGCCGTTGCCAATTACCTTATAAATCTCCTAGTCAGTTTCTACCCTGTTATTATTATCATTATTATGTTTATGAATTCCTCATTTTCTTCTATTACTCTGCACTGCTTCGAGCTTACGATGACGATAACCTCCCAGCTCGATACGCCTAACTCGAATGGTGTCACAATCAAGCCGACGATGGTTTGATGAACTTATGACAATCTACATTTGGCTAAATAAAATCAACGCTGGCTTTTTTTTTATCAACCGCTGGGATGAGCATCGGATGTTAACTAAACGGGCTTCGTTGCTCGTGTCATTTCATTTCGTCTCTTCCCCTCGAACAGACCTCTTTCATGCGGCGAGGGCCCCAACAGGCTACAAAGACAGACACGCCGACCATCGGCAGCGCCGGCTATCGGAGCCAATCCGAGGGCAAATACCTAAGCATTACAGCCCTCCTTCTCCAAGTTTTGCACCAAGACGATCTCATAGCCCTTCCCCACATGAGAAACCTCAAGTGGAATCGACGGTGCGGTCGTGCCAACCTCTCTGAAAAATACCTCGCTTCATTCAGTCGCCTGTACGCGAGGGAGGTAAATCGACTCGATCTCCGCCCATCGCAAATCACGTGCATCGAACGGTATCGATGTCAAATTCTTGGCTTGGCATACGTGAGCCTATTGTGCGGCAATGATTAGAGGGGCCTGATTTCCATGATATCCTTGTTTGTATTTGATCGATAGGATGTGTAGTTTAGCGGGGAATTTACTTTAGGAAAATGATCATTAGTTTTGTAAAAGTATAAGCTAGTATCGAAACTGTTTACCATACCAATATCGTTCTTAGTAAAGGTGGCAGTTATGACGAAACTATAAGGCATGTGTATGTTTGATATTTTTTTTACCCTTTTCTTGTCGACGAAAGCAGGCGGCTGTATAAATCTACACTATATA